AAATTGAAGTAATTACTTAACGTCGATGTTTTAATTTGCATATTTCATCTAGAAAAAGCTGAGTAGCTGAACGTTAAGTTTATCAAGAGGTGGCGAGCCACTTTTGAGTCACGAGTCATTTGCAACGAACTCCAATGTATAACCTGTTCATTTCATTTGGTGATTTGGTGAAGCAATTGTCCTCACGAAGCTGCAATACACACACTGAAGAAAATTGCAAATGATATAACTGAAACTGCTCCAGCACAAACAGCGTTTCTCATCAACTTCATTGGCATGAGGCTAGCGAAATACACTTTCAGTGCCTATGTTCTCTTAGACAATATTCATTTCTGTTGTCGAACTAATATCCGGAACCCAACAGTGGTTGCCATGTATGAACAACGGCATTGCATCAATCATATCTGTAAATTATAGTTCATGATCCTTAGTGACTTTAAGTACAATCGTTAGATTTTGAACTTCGGACTACGAAACAACAAACAAGGGCACAAAAAAGGTTAGGCTATAGGTTCCCGCGCACATACCACGTGTCGTCGAATATAATTGACGGCCCTATTTTTATCTGCGGACAGCATTTTTACCGTCGCTCGCCAAACTTCCCAATGTCTACCTTTAATTTACAGCCCTTATCTCAGTAAGTGATGTGGTGTATGTCACTTGTGTTGACAGATATATGTAGTGGAATGCCTGTGAGCAGAATGTTGAATTGGCTGAGATGGAAAGAATAAAGAAGAAACTTAAAAGCAATCAAGATGACAACAGGAACAAAGGAACGATGAGGTTTGTAAAACACACTCCAAAGACATGCCAACGATATATTTAATGTGCGATTTTCACATTTTACCGAACCACCGTGGGATTTTGCATTAAAAAGTTGGTTATCCTAACCAGGTCTTCTCTCTCCAATAGTAGTTTTGAATGGTTCTGGACGGAATAGAAGAAGCTGTCACTTAGCGAGCTTCCATACCTAGTAGCCGTAAGTTACCGATGCCTCCAGGTAGGAAATTAGACATTATAGATTAAAGAAGAAAAATAAAAAAATGTTGGTAGTTTATGTGGAGCCTACAATTTATTTGCAAATACCAAATGAATAAATAAAATCCCAATACGGTTGGAGAATTAAGAGCATTGTTTATGGCGAGTAAGACACTTATGGCCGAATTCTATTAGCTTCTATGCTATATACGTGCTGAATGCGATATAAATTGCCCATTTGCTTGATTAGTTATTACTGTGGACCGCTGGGTGTCTACTCTAATTCCTACCGACTGACCAACTTTAGATATCCCAGTACGACCCCAATACTGCTCCCCAATCTCCAATATATCAGAACACGAACAGTAGATGAAAATTGTTTATGGGGTCAGGAGAAGAATAAGAATAGGAATAAGAATAATAATTTACAGAAAAATGCACATTTATACAGTTAGGACTTCCGTGAATATTGACCAGTAGCTAAACGACACATGAAATAAATATTGACCAATATGAATATGACACCGTTTCAGGTTCAAGGATAGCATTAGACTTAACAGGATAATTTTTGGAATTTTTTCTGAATATACTAACAGTTATGTTTCATATGGTAGAGCATAGACTACACCAAATTATGCATTAGTGAAGCTGGTATCTCAATTACTTATTAAAGATTTCTAAGAAGTAATTTCAACATTTCTTTTAGATCTCATCACAAACCTTCCACTGTATTTATCGACAGTCCTCTGCTTTCAAAACACTGGTTTCGTACAATCCGTGAATACTGTTTGTTTCATTTACAAAAAAAAACTCTTGTATTATTTTGGTAAGCATTTATGTCACCTAGCTCGCTCGGACTTCATTTTATAAGAATATATTTTATGATGCGGCTTGTACTTTGTTATTGATTGAGCCTACCTTTATTAGTCTATCTTCGTATGTATGCCAGAAGAATATGACGTCAGGGATACTGCCATGTCACAACCGTCCGACGTATATTTTCATAAGTGCTTGTACACATCTCGAAGGGTCCTACTCACTCGACCAAAAATATCCGACCATTGTTTTCATGTTTCATGCAGACACAACTCGCTTCTTTTAATTTAAGCAGAAACTTGCGTCATGCAAGAGGATTAAGTTGAATATCAAGTGAAACTAATGATCGCGATGAATCTTACCTTCAGCACCTACTTGCTATTGACTTGTGTTCAGTAGTTCTCCTTCTCAACGTTTTAGCTTTACACCTGATTTTACGTTATTTTCTGAACCTAGTATGGGACTCCTCAGCAGTGCGCATCCACGATCCCGCACCACGCGGGGCTCGAACCCAGATAAAGTTTCCAATGAAATTGGTGAGGTTTCGTTGGACAATTTGTTTTCAAGGTCAGATCATGAAGCAATAATCGAGGTCAACTGTGGGGCACAAGGCAGAGTAAAGTAGATTATTGTTCTTTAGTATGATCCTGCTGTTATAATTCAGTAAAAACCTACCTAAGTATGAGAACATCTGAACATCATGCAGTCCACCGGGCACCAACCAGTTCACAGCAATTCAAATACGAAACGACCACTACACAACAGGCATTCCGTGTCTTTGAAAAGAAACGGCGGGCGACTCGGAGTGAACACAACGTTTTGACCGTGCCCACAGTTATACTTCTGTATTTTTGCTCGGGCTGCTAACTATAGGCTTGGGTAGGACTCGACTTGCATTTTGCAAAGTGCAATCACAAATATCAATTCACAATATACTTACTGTACAACCAGAGCTGTATTACTATTCGTGCCATAAGCAGTAACATGCCTATCTGAAAAACTGTTACGCACTTGTCGATGATTATTATTAGAAGCTTTATTCAACATTATATTTTTGGTACAACATAGAATTCTCAGCATAAAGTATTTCAAAAATTTTCCTTTTCTTATATCTTGATCGATTGTGACGATCAATTTTAAATGATGAACAGTTAAATGTTAGGAGTTTGATAATCCACATTTGATTAATGTTCATTCGTTTCAATGCATATTGCCAGCCACCATGATGTCGCTGATTGTACCTTTTTGTATCCTGTATAGCGAAAGGTTGTAAACTTTTCATAAACGCGCCTGAATAGATTGTGAGCACAATAGACATAATGATGTGCTAAAACAAACAACAAAACAGATAACTTGATGAAATATCTAGATCGGAGGAACAGGTAGCCCAGATATTCTAACAGGCCGCCTGGATGTCGATTCGAAGGGCTGCTGGATCCGGTAGTGAAATATAGTGGGGCTAGAAAGATTTTTTAAATCCTTAGGTAAGCTATTCATCAAGGTGGTCTGATTCTATGTTGGACGACAGACCACAAACCACTGGACAGTTTCCAGATAATTGTCAAAATCAGAGATCACTAACACAACTTATTCATTTTTATGCAACGAGCAGTCATATGCTACAGGGTTCCCTCCCTGTACTTCTGCAACATATTTATAACACCTGGTGTTGATGACCGAGGGTATTCATTCTATCCGGTCGCCTGCGAATACAGTGAACCTGTTTATTACTATGGGGTAATCCAAGTTACGTGTTAACTACGTTCTGGGCCCACGATGGGATCTAAAATGTAACAATATCCGCACATAAATTGAGTAAACCCGTACCATCCACACAAATCACTTACGTTGACGATGTAAACGAAGCTCCGACTTGTTACTTTAGTTGTGGTTAGACTGCCTAACAACCTCTTTTCGGATGGTGTATTGATAACTATAGTAGTGAGTGGCTCTATATTAACAAGCTATGTGGGTGTTCTTCCGTCTGATCCGCCAATGATTATTCTACTTCACCGTTATCTATGTAAATCTGAACCATCATACCAGAGAGCTACGTTCTACGGTGTAGTGATAAATAAATCCTGAAACTAAGCATGTCTGTGAGTTTCTGACATCGAAGCTATGTTTGCTAATTTTACTGGAAGCGCTCAGTCAAGCATCCACACCATATCGCATTTTCATATGTTTCATTACACGTTTTCAACGATTACTGGTTAGCTTTGATTCAAATCACTGTGTTAAATGGACACGAAACTCAAGCGTACTTGCAGATCACATCATCCTATTTTTTTCTAGCTGTAACTGGGTTTAAAATGATAAATTATGATTCATTTTTATGTCACCTCTGTGTGTTGAATGGAGACATTGTAACTATCTTGTGAAATTGTGAGATAGAAATTTAATTCATTTGAATGGTTTTCGTGTTGTATCCCGTTTGTCGGATGATCCGTCTGAGAAAATTCAGTCGTTCTGCATGTTATTGTAATAGCATTTATGCCCTTTTTTGAAAGCTATTTTTGACGGCTTTACCTCGGCCTATGCATTCTAATAACATCATTCGAATGGATTGAAAAATCGGACTTATTTTTATGATTTATGATCAAAACCTTCCAGAAGTTCTCTGATAAACTCGTTTCAGCCTCAATTTGTGGTCTATGTAATAAGTATTCGCAGCTGTCAATGAGGATGGACGTGGGAAATGATATTGTGTTGTGTAATCCGAACTGACTTGAATATTATTTTTTCACTGTTCCGATAAAAGTAGCTTGGCTCGCCATATATCTGTCTGCTGAACCCTCCTCTTTAGAACCACTTTGTCCCTACACTAAGTCTCATGTCCAGCTTCGCAATATGGTGTTCGACCTATTGTAGTGTTAATAATTTGAAACACAATTCATTCATTCAATCATTACAGATTTTCATCTTAAGTTTCAACAACTTGATTGCCCAGTATAAAGAATTACAATGAAGTTTTTCAACCACAAGAGCATTTTAAAGCATAGTCGTCGATGGACGATCTTGTGTTGCTCTCCAACCACGCCTATCTATTAACTGATACAACTTTTAAATCTATGAAGATTCAATCATGATAAGAACTACATGTAAATATGTAAACTATCTTACTATCTAGATATAAATCTCTTGGACAAAGCTTGAAGTTTGAATTCTGAAAGGACATGAACTTAACTACGACCTTAAAGTAACTTCAACATTTCAAGTTTATGTTGAACCATATGACTGTATTTAGAGATGTTCCAAGTTGAAGAGCTGTGTTCATTGGGAATATTTGTTCTGTCATTACTGGTACTTTTCGTATATTTTCATCAAATTTGCTTCTTTTTGATATCGCTATACACAGCGTAAGTTCATTTTTCACACTCTGCATATGTAGTCGATGTTTATTTTATCCGAAAAGATCTGTCGTATTAACTGATACCCCAGGAGTGTCAGTTGTCAAACCTCTAATGGGAGTAGATGATTGTCTTCACGAAAACCTAAAAAGTCACTTCACTTTGGACTATCCTCGAGTAAGCTTCTGACTGTTTTTTTGTATTTTGATTACTATATACTCATGCAACATCTTTTCTATGCTGCAATTTCATTCATCGCACCATAGGCACTCATACGGGATATCTAGGTCGTAGTTAAGCGACCAGAATTGCCCACGGTCGTTCATGTGCTTTTTCGACTCATTTTCATTATAAAAAGACTTGGGCAATGCTAACCTGACATTAAGCATCCTGAAGTCAGAAGCAGATGAAAAGCGAAATGTAATAGAACAACATGTGTCTAAGTTTGTTTTTCCTCCATAGCCCTTCTCTTTATTATTGTCTTCCCATAACTTTATAAAATAAGGTGTTTTTAAATGTGTATATCTACTGAAAATGGATCTCTTGCAAAACACTGGATTGTTTCAAACTAATAATCGCTTGATCGGCTACTGCATTATCTGACTTGAAGACTGTAGACCACCAATGCAGATAATCTATGTCGAATGATCGGAGACCTACTCGAGTTAGACGAGAACGGTGTGACGAACCAGGTAACGTAGAGGTCACACCTCATAGTCAGCACTTTACGTGAACTACCCCATTGACGTATCAAGGTACTATAGATGTTTTGAGGACTGTTTAACGCAGAGGACGTTGTTAAAGAAATATATTAGTTAAAGTAGGTACAAGCGAAAATAAGACCATTGCCGCATTGGCCAGTCCATGGTGTACGATTAACTGATGCGCATTGGTCGTCCTTGACTTTGACAGGGATCGATGATCTGCTCGATATTCAGTGAATCAACTGCCGGGTGATTTGGCTAGGGCTTAGTGATATTTCACTGGCCCTACGAAACAATTGTCCAAAGACTTTTTAACATGATTAAACTAACATTATTTTTAGTAGTTTTGATTCATAGCACTTGGCAAGTACAGGCTCACAACGTTGAGTCACTGGTTTTATCTTGAGGTTAGGGATACTATTCAGTCAACTAGGTTGAAACGACTGAAGAAGGGTGGCGACCTGAGACGTGGTGATAAAATTCAAGATTTCATAAAGGAATTTTTAAAAGTATTTTCAAGTATATGTCGATATTGAATCGAATAATCACGTCTCACCAAACGTTTACGTATTTTATTAATTTATGCTGGTGGTTTATTTAACTGAATTACTGGATGCAGAGAAAGTAGTGCAGTTTTTACTGACGTACATTATATTTTATAGGAAGTTGTTTCAAGCAAATGTCAATCAGCCAGTCATACGCAACATATACCTGACTTATGTATACATTGGTTAAAGATGTCATACCATAATAGCATAGCGAAATGGTTACTTGTTTTTAAACTGGCTAAACTTGTAGTGTGCAAGGTAGCGCAAATTATAAGGATTTCGGTCAGTCAATGCTTTCGACGAAAGGTTCTCGATGCGCTTTAAGCAGGTTAGGAGTGATCCTTTCATTTACAGCATTTAATTTAATATGAAAACTTGTCATGACTTTTCGACCCAGTTCATTTTTATTTATCAGTAGCGATGTCATTTTTATCAGCGTAGATAATATGGAATCTGCAAAGCTTCTAACATATGATTCTGTGATGATAAACATACACTCTTGCAGTGGAGCAAACCGAACAACCACGTATTTGTGCACGGTTACACGTTGAAATGACTGATCAGAGATTTGTGCTGATGTAACACCTTGATAAATCGCTTAAAATATTACAGCCACCCTTGTATCCGTTTGTTAACGAAATGAATGTTAGTGGGATAACGATTATTTAGTGATGGTATCTTTGATTGAAATAATTTTATAGAATTATTCAACAGATTCTTGTTTGACCAACTCAAGACGCCCGATAACCTTACAAATGGGTCTGTTTATAAACGTTTGAGCTCAATATATTAGTGAATCGTGCTTTGAAATTTGAAGCGATTGTCATCGGGTTCGAGTTTTAGTGTGTATATCAGCACTGAGTTGTTGGACATTCTCGGATAGGACGAAACACAGATCTTTTATTGGACGGCTACTCACTCATCAAGTATCATAAAACCTGTAGCCAAACAGTGATTTCAAGGCACATTGCTCATTTCAGTTTCAGATTGTGGGCAGTATTTATGTGCTTGAAGGAATAATGTGCTTTCTAAGGGGGGATTTCGGACAAACAAACATCAAACAAGTAGTATTTATAATTGACAGTATAGTTTCATTAATGTCCAAAAAAGATTTAGGTATTGATATCACTTTTTTCAGGTTGTTGTTCAGGTCAGTTGTATTGTATTTTGATTTTTTTGAGTAAAATATTCTGACTTCAAAAACGTATTGTCCTGCTTTCCAAATCAACGTTCACAAACGTATTTCTTATGTTTTAAAATATCCTAGATTTGTATATGACGATTTTCTGAAGAAGGCAAAATTTAAATGCGTTCTTTCGAAATGCTTATCTTTAACTGTAACAAAAACTGTCAGTTTCTGTACCCTCATTTTGATTATTGTGAAACTTGTTGGACGTGTAAAATTTGAAACTTGGAAAAGTCATATCTTTCTGTTAGTGATATATATATATATATATATAAGTTGGCAAACTAATAACATTTTTGTACAACTGTGACTCCCATATTCGCAGTAACTTGTTAGCCTTAATTTTGAAAAAACAATTTTCCATCTCATCAAAGTTTTAGAGGCAATTTATGGCTCATAGATCTCAACCGAATGGTATAAATATGAATTCCAATTAAGACAATAATTGTGTTTTCACAACTATGTATATTTTTAATCAGCCTTGAATTTGAATGGCAGTTTTTAATCACAAAAGTTGGATTGCTTTTATGAGCCTTAGTGATTCTTTCTTATCTCCTTAAAATAGTGAACACTTTATGTAAGCAAAATAAAGTGTTTTTATGTCTTTTTAACTAGGTTTCATAATGAAGACTTAAGATGCAGTGACACTGTATACTTATTTCAGCTACTGGTGTTAATTTATAATCATGATTTACTCACATTTCACGTAGGTTTTGGGGGAATTAAATTTATGTTTCGTCGAAGGTGTAAGCATATCAGATATAAGTGATCTCTCTGTACTGTTGGATACTTGCATCGAATTCATGACATTAGGAGATTCATATTTCGGTGTAACCCATTATTTATTTTATAGTACTTTCATAGTTAATCCACTCAAGTCTTATAAATTAATCTATTGATCTTTATCCTGCTTTATAACATGATAGAATTCCTTACGTGGAAAACATGAATTCTTCATGAATTAAATATAGCCAAAGAGAAAATCATATATTTTCTTGTATTGGTGTACAAAATGTATTTAAGACTGAGACTTCAAGTAAAATCATTGGAATCTAAGTTACGAATCGAAATCTTATATATAGCAAATTTTATACTGTACTCATAAATAAAATATATCTACCGTGAGTGTGCTATGGAAACAATTCACTAGTGGGTTTGATTAGCATTATTCACCAAATTAAAAAGTTATCTCAACACTTTATTAATTATTTTACTGAAAATGGAATAATTTAAAATGGTATGACAATAGTTCTCATTATTTATTACTAGTATAGGGGTTGTAGAGATTATTAAGTTTTTGATTGAGATCATGTACCGATTGATTTTAGACCACCTTTGGAAACCTGGAAGCACTGGACGGCCGTTTCGTCCTATTGTGGGACTCCTCAGCAGTGCGCATCCATCGGTTCATGATCTCAATCAAAAACTTAATAATCTCCACAATCCCTATACTAGTAATTAATATGTGCTCACTGGTGACTAGCTTCGTGAGGGAATTCTCGGAGTTCTAGTGAGGAGCTGTGACCAGTGGAGCTAATCCATGTCGGGTAGAGACAGGTATCTACCTCAGTACAATGGAAGATGGTCACGCAACTTCGTGGATTGGTTGATATTAGACATTATCACCATTGGGTGCCGGCTTAGTGGTCCAGTAGGTTAAGTGTTCGCGCGCGAGACCGAAGGCCCTGGGTTCGAATCCCGCGAGCGGGATCGTGGATGCTCACTGCTGGGGTTTTCCAACACCCTTAAGTGGACTCTCCGTGTTCACCAACACAGACATTCACTTTTCATCCTCTCAATTTCATAAACAACATAGTAAACGTTTTTTTTTGAAATTATACAAACTTAATGGTACCGGTTATTTTCCTTTTTGAAGTTGTATCACTTAAACATCAAGTAAACAATATGATCGTATTTTACTTGATTAGTACTGCTTATGGTGAAATTAGTAGACATTTCATAAAAACTGGTATTAGTTGTTATTTATTATTATTATATTAAGATCTTTATCAACTTTATTATGAAATATATATGAGTTTGTAGTCATGGCAACAGATGGTTTAGATATATTTCAATTAACAAATGAATTTTAATTTCTTTTAATAAACTACACTGTTTTTTATTCTAATCTCATATACGTGAACGCCCCTGAAATGTAACTGCTTTTAAACAAAATATATTAAACTGTTTATTGCTTAATGGTGAGTCATCAGTATTACTGCATATTAGGATCAGTCCATTTTATCTTACGAATAAGTGTGTTCTCTTTTAATGATAGAACTTTTTAAAAGAAATGAGGAAATGTGCGTATGAAAAAAAATGGGTAGATAACAATACTAAGGTGATGTAGCATTGAATGTCATGTGATGTTAAACAAGAATTACATGCAGAGGCCTATCACTGTACAGTTGCTCTGGTTATTGGGTTATTGACGTTATAATTAGTTTATTTTGATGAGTTCAACATCTTATTACGGAACAAATTGATAATCACTGCTTGATGTTTGTTATTTTAGGTTATCATGCATTTTCTGTCAATTTTATGCATTGAAAATAAGTGGTTGAGGTTATTTTTTGTCCTAAAACTTTTCTGCTTATTCTATTTCGCTGTACATTGTCACTAGTATGTCTATAATGTCAGACTTAAGTATTGACTTTGATGAAACGTTAGTCAACGTCGTCCTTCATTGTGTATTGTATCACATTATGTTTTACAGAGATTAATTACATCGATTTCTAA